GGCCACTGAGGCAGACTCCATCTCCTCAGCAACCCGCGACCACCACCCATCCTTGCAGTGCCTCACGGCTCTCCTAACCTCTGAGCGAAGGCTGCGGTAAGCCTCCTCATTCTCTGACGTGGGATTCTGTAAATGGACTTCACACACACAGACACACACACACATACAGGTGTTTGTGTGTGTTTGTGACTTTGACTTATCCTTCACACACAAAGACATCCTCGTTTGTTCAAGTCCGGAAATTTCCATCAAAAGTTGAAGTCGAAACCAGCCAGGCAGCATATAAATACCTCCCGCTCGTAAAATCGCAACCACCACAGCCGATTGGAATCGCGAGAAGGAAGGGGTAAGCACTGAAAAAAGCCCACTCGTTCTACAAGTTCACAATAATACGCCTTAGCATTTTAACACAGTAGGAGCTCGTGACCCATACTCATAACTAGAGGGTTTGTTAGATCGCGTCAAACATTTAACCCCCTAAAAAATATTCAACTATGGATACGTTGTCATCACAATGCACTGAAAGTAAGTTTCTCTCGCTAAAGGTTGTGTGAATTACTGTGATTGCTCTGCGGATATTTTTTGCGTTTCATTCTCACTGCACAATCCGTTCAACACTTTTCTGCTATTTCTCTTTTCCGACGAAAGTGATTCTCATCCTCCGACAAAATGCATCGACGGAAAAAAATATGGTGTGATATGATCGTCAACGACTAACACTGCCCATAGAATTAACACTACCCATAGACTCAACACTGCCCATAGACTCAGCACTGCTACCCATGGACTCAGCACTGCCCATAGACTCAACACTACCCATAGCAAACTAGTAAGGGTTGTCACGTAAACAGAACATGCCAATTTGTCAGTAGATACTACTATACAGTCGGTACAGTGAAGTTTTTAGTGTATAGTGTAGTATATAGTAGTGAAGTATACAGTAGTGTAGAATAGTTGTGTAGTGTATAACAGTGTAGTGTATAATAGCGTAGTAGATAGTGTATAGTGTAGTTCTAGATTTAAAGCTTTCGTGACTGCTAGGATCCATACTCTTTGGTTCTATTGGGTAAAGTCACGTAGGTGATTTTTTGTTATTTTATTTTCACCTACGTGACTTTACCCAATAGAACCAAAGAGTATGTATAGTGTAGTGTTTACAGTAGTTCACAGTGTAGTGCATAGTAGTGCAGTGTAAACTATAATAGTGGAAAGTGTCGTGTATTGTGTCGTGTATAGAGTAAAGTAGTGAAGTGTATAGAAGTGTAGTGTACAGTAGTGAAGAGTGTAGTGTATGGAAGTGACTAGTAGTATATAGCAGTGTAGTGTATACTACTATACACTAGACTGCTATACACTACTCTTAACCCATTTTAAACCTTTAAAACAGTCTGCCACAGCAGCTTTTCCCCTATTTTTTCCTCCTGATGACGATCGCTTTTGTTGTGATCGAAACGACAAGGTTTTTTTGTTATTTTTGTAAAAATTTTCTTTGAAACAATCTATGTGACTTTACGGAAAGACCCAAAGAATATGAATTCCTGTAATAACGAAAGCTTTTAGTCAAGATTTACACTACGCGACTATACACTACACTATAGACTACACTATATACTACACACTATACTTATATACACTACTATACCCTCATGTATATACTGTACTACTATACCCTACACTATACACTACTATACATTGCACTATACACTACTATACCCTACAGTATACACTAGATTATACATTATTATACACTCTAATACACTACACTGTACACTACATTACACATTACCATACACTACAATATACACTACACTACCTTACACCACGAATATAGACTACACTCTACACGAAACTATACACCACAACTATTATACACCACGACTACACACTGTAGTGTGTATTGTGTAGCGTAGTGTATAGTGTTGTATATAGCAGTGTAGTGTACAGTGTATAGTTGCATAGTGAGTAGTGTAGTTTATAGTAATGTAGTGTACGACGCACTCCACTACTATAAATTACATTACTATACACTATGCTTTACACTAGCGTATACATTAATCTCTACACTACGATAAACTACACTAAACACTACACTAGACACTACACTATACACTACTGTACACTACACAAGCCCACTAACCCAACGTGTTTCCCACAGGAATCTACACATCAAGGCCAGCGCTCGTGGCTACGATTGTAAGAGGCACGGCAACGACATGGGCTCAGAACAGAGCAAAGGTGAACTACAAACTACAACTACAGTCTATGTGTGGTGTTGAGTCTACGGGCAGTGTTGAGTCTACGGGCAGTGTTGAGTCTATGGGTAGCAGTGCTGAGTCCATGGGTAGCAGTGCTCAGTCTATGGGCAGTGTTGAGTCTATGGGTAGTGTTGGGTCTATGGGTAGTGTTGAGTCTATGGGTAGTGTTTAGTCTAAGGGCAGTGTTGAGTCTATGGGTAGTGTTGAGTCTATGGGCAGTGTTGAGTGTATAGGTAGTCTTGAGTCTATGGGTAGTGTTAAGTCTATGGGGAGCAGTGCTGAGTCTATGGGCAGTGTTGAGTATATGGGCAGTGCTGAGTATATGGGCAGTGTTGTGTCCATAGGTAGTTTTGAGTCTATGGGCAGTGTTGAGTCTATGGGTAGTGTTGTGTCTATGGGTAGTATTGGGTCTGTGTTGAGTCTATGGGTAGTGTTGAGTCTATGGGTCGTGATGAGTCTATGGGTAGCAGTGCTGAGTCCATGGGTAGCAGTGCTGAGTCTATGGGCAGTGTTGAGTCTATGGGTAGTGTTTGGTCTATGGGTGGTGTTGAGTCTATGGGTAGTGTTTGGTCTATGGGCAGTGTTGAGTCTATGGGTAGTGTTGAGTCTATGGGTAGTGTTGAGTCTATGGGTAGTGTTGAGTCTATTGGTAGCAGTGCTGAGTCCATGGGTAGCAGTGCTGAGTCTATGGGCAGTGTTGAGTCTATGGGTAGCGTTGGGTCTATGGGTAGTGTTGAGCCTATGGGTAGTGTTTAGTCTATGGGCAGTGTTGAGTCTATGGGTAGTGTTGAGTCTATGGGCAGTGTTGAGTCTATGGGTAGTTTTGAGTCTATGGGTAGTTTTGATTTAGAGCTTTCGTGACTGCAGGGATTCATATTCTTGGTTCTTTCGGTAAAGACACGTAGAAGGGAAAAAATGAAAATATAAAACAATACAATTTTCACGACGTTTCGACTGCAACACAAGCAATCATCATCTATGGGTAGTGTTGAGTCTATGGGCAGTGTTGAGTCTATGGGTAGTGTTGAGTCTATGGGTAGTGTTGAGTCTATGGGCAGTGTTGAGTCTATGGGTAATGTTGAGTCTATGGGCAGTGTTGAGTCTATGGGTAGTGTTGAGTCTATGGGTAGTGTTGGGTCTATGGGTAGTGTTGAGTCTATGGGCAGCGTTGAGTCTATGGGTAGTGTTGAGTCTATGGGTAGTGTTGAGTCTATGGGTATCAGTGTTGAGTCCATGATGTATTGTGAGTCGATGCGCATTGCCGTCTTTCCTGTTAGTGGTATGTGTGTCTTCTGTTACAGATCACAAAACCCCAGATAAATGCACCTGCCAGATTTGTAAGTGTTTATTTTACTATCCGGTGAGTTTGCCGTGTGGCCACAGCTTCTGCGAGGCCTGCGTCGAGGTCCACTGGGAGTTGGAATTGAAGCAGGTGGAATTCCTCTGCCCACAAAAGGATTGTGGTCGGCGATGGGAGAGCAAACCCATGGTGAGTGAGAATACGGCACTGGCGCCGCTGGCGGAGGAAGCGAGGGAGAAGCTCGTGTCTAAGAAACTTGATGAAAAACGACGGGCGGCAACGGAAGGCGAAGCAAAGGAAGAGAGAATCGCATCCTCACCACAATCATCTCCACCCGCACAGAGCGGTGGTGAGAAATGGGTGAGTAGTCACAACTTCCTTCTGGTACGTGGGAGGTCCGGGGTTCGATCCCGACCCTGACGACGCCTGTGGTATATTTGGAGTCTGTGTGTCTCTCTTCCTCTCCTCGTGCTTGCGTGGATTTTCTTTCTCCGGGCACTCCACCACCCATTCTTTCAGCGCCTCGCAGCTCTCAGAACCTCTAAGCGAAGGCTGCGGTAAGCCTCGTTATTCTCCAACATGGGATTCTGTAGATGGTGAGTGGGCCTGTCGCTTTTCTCAGCCAGCCTGAACACCTCCTCTGTCAGCCAGGGTCTCTGGGGAGGTTTAGACCGCGTTGCCAAAGCAGCAATTGCAGCAGCATGAGCCACAGTCCTAAACCTTGCCCATTTCCCCTCGGCATCAGGAGTGAGGGACGATGCCAACCGCAGCTGCATGTGATGATGAAATTCTCACTTGCAACTTTCATCAGATAACTGAGACCAGGCCACTTTAGGTTGGAATGGGGTCCTCGGTGTACACCCACCACCGGAGTGGAAGAATGACAGGCGCATCTTACAGATGACTAGTCGATGGTCATTGGGCAGATCAGCTCCACGGTAGATCCTGGTGTCAAGGACATGGGCCCACATCCACTGTTCCATCACTATGTAGTCCAGCAGAAGTTCTTGCTTGGACCCAGCGTGCATCCATGATGTTGTGTGGATGTGCTGATGTCAGAACAGCGTGTTGGTAATTACAAGCCCATAATCTGCACCAAAATCTAGCAGGAATGTCCACCCCTTACGGTGACTCGAGCCAGAACCAGTCCACCGGACCTCCTGATTACCGCAGAGATTCAGGCGGTAGTGGTCCAGCTCCGACAGAGGAGTGGCAGCCTCTCCTCCGCAGTGAGAGTTCGAACATTCTATGTGGCCACTCGCATTGGCTTTTTCCCTTACAGTGTTCACACACACACTGGGTCAATACGTTTCATAGGGTACTCCGAAAGGGTGATGACTTGACGTGATTAGTTGTCTTCACGCCACTGTCAAATTTGGTTTATTTTGCATTCCCAATCCCTGCTTCCCATTTTGTTGTTGTTGTTTCTGTAACAGTCGGAAGCGCGTAGCAAACTCGTAGAGATATTTCCGGAATGGAAGGTGAAGAGGATTGAGGTCTTGAAGATGATCCTCGACATGATCGTTGAGCTGAAGAAGCGAACGCGAGACGGCCACATCTCCAAGGTCGCCGGCTCTTCCGCGGGCATCGCTGGTGGCGTCATGGCCATCACCGGCTTAGCCCTCATCCCGGTGACCTTCGGCGCGTCTCTGGGCCTCACCATCGCTGGCACCGTAATGGGGGTTGCCGGAGGCATCACGGGCGCAGGGGCATCGATCGCCGTGCTGGTGATGAACAAAGCCTCAACCAAGAAGGCGACAGAAAATTTCGAGAAGGATAAAATTGCCAGCAAGACGCTCGCCAATGCGTTGGAGTCGGTTTACTCTGTGGCCAGTGAGCTTGATGATGTCACCATGCGCACGCTGGTGTTCGAGAGAGTTTCCACTACAGAAGGCAACAATGATAAGGTATGCTCAGAACGCAGACGCACCTGGGAGAAATTTAAAGCTGCTGCTGGAGGAATTTTTGCGACAGGCGGCACGGCAAAAGGGATTCATACCATCACCGACAACGCAATCGATTTGGCCGGTGCGGCAAAAGTGGCCGCGGCCGGCGCCAACGCGGCCGACGACGTCGGATTTGCGGTGGCGAAGGGAGTGGCAAGCGGCGGCTTACGGATAGCCGGGATCGCGGTGGGCTCCGTGCTCCTCGCCGTCGACGTCGCGAGCCTGATCTGGACCGGGATCGATTTGCACAAGGGGACCCCGTCACAGATAGAAGAGCACTGGCAGAAGACGTACGACGACTTGAAATTGCACCTTGTGGGCATGGCGAAAATCAAATATTACATCGAGAGATTATGAAATAGATGACGGGTATCCACCCCTCGATATGTACGGCAAGGTCTCAGATGGGGGATCAGTGTACACGGTTCCCGCTCGTACCACGACCGACTACCCATGATCCGTAATTACACTTGTATCCATATCACCCGCACAATACACGAGTCCACCCAGCTATATAATCTTTCCTATTGCTCATATACAGTAGCGTACACTCGTATAGTAATTTAGAAGTTTAGTAATATAGTATATAGTAATATAGTAGTATAGTTATATAGCAGTATAGTTATATAGTAGTATAGTAATATAGTAGTTTAGTAATATAGTACTATAGTAATATAGTAGTATATAGTAATATAGTAGTATAGTAGCATAGTTATATAGTATAGTTATATAGTAGTATAGTAATATAGTAGTATATAGTTATATAGTAGTATATAGTAATATAGTATATAGCAATATAGTAGTATAGTTATATAGTAGTATAGTAATATAGCAGTATATAGTAATATAGTAGTAAATAGTAATATAGTAATATATAGCAATATAGTATTATATAGTAATATAGAAGTATAGTAATATAGTAGTATACAGTAATATAGTGATATACGGTGATATAGTAGTATATAGTAATATAGTAGTATAGTAATATAGTAGTGTATAGTAATATAGTAGTATAGTAATATAGTAGTATATAGTAATATAGTAGTATACAGTGATATAGTAGTATATAGTAATATAGTAGTACAGTAATATAGTAGTGTATAGTAATATAGTAGTATAGTAATATAGTAGTATATAGTAATATAGTAGTATACAGTGATATAGTAGTATATAGTAATATAGTAGTACAGTAATATAGTAGTACAGTAATATAGTAGTATATAGTAACATAGTAGTTTGTAGTACTATAGTAGTCTAGTAAATGGTTACTCCGACTACACAATCCGCAAAGCCATCACTCCAGTCATGAAGGATCATCTTGTGGAGCCACACAAAACCATCACCTTACCCTACATTGCAGGGGTCACTAAAAAGATCTCCAAAATCCTGAATAAACACAAGATCCAGGTCTGATTCAACACAGTACATAAAATCCGTGATCTGGTTCCATCTGTAAAATATGCTGTTCCAGACATACAGTACCCAGGCGTTTACAAACTAAAGTGCCTCTGTGGTAGTAGCTACATTGTAGAAACCAAAGGACATATCTCGGACCGCATCCGCGAACATAAAGCAGACTTGAAACACGGTAGAACGAACTCCTCTGCCGTGGCAGATCACTGTTATAATTCAGTGGGCTCACATGACATTGACTTCTCCAAGACGGAGGTTCTTTGCAAACCAACCGGCTACCATGAGAGATTCGTTCATGAGGCCATTCACATATACAAGCACAGAAACAATTTCAACCGAGAAGATGGATTATGGCTTAGTAACCATTTGAAAGATGTTTTACACCATTTTCATTCTTAATTAATTGTATTTTACGATGACCTTCAGACCGCAGCTCTTTTGCTGGCATTGACTCTTAATACTTCTCACACCACGGTTAATGGTATGGTTTACAACATGGAGTATAACAGCGCCTCGCAGCTGTCTCTCTCCCCCTCCTCCGTTCCGACCATGGATGAACTCGTCCGTCTGAACGGGGGTCGTAGCTATCCGTGGTGCTAAAGTTGAGGGTAAGAATCCACCCATTTTTTCGCCATATAGCATTGTGATATATAACGACTTATTGTTGGTAGCTTAGCTGATTGGAGAATATATAGAGTTTATTGATAACATTGAGGTAATTTATATTTTAGTTTTTTATTGGTTTACTATATAGTATTCATTATATAGTGTAGTGTATACCCAGCTACTGTGAATAGATCAGATGTGTAGGCTTTGACTTTAACATAGCCATTTATGTGACCAGTCACAAGCTAGTCACTCAGTTATTTCAATGCTAAATTCTCCTAGTTATTTCAATGCTAAATTCGCCTGTTTGATTTGTACTAGGTGCCTCTGTGAATGTGTATGCTTTGACTTTAACATAGCCATTTCTGTGACCAGTCACAAGCTAATCACTCAGCTAATTCAATGCTAAATTCTATGCTAATTCTTTTGTCAAGGTGCTTTGTTTCTGCTCACACAGCTTAAAGGTCGCGATCTGAGCGTGGCTTTGTTCGCTCCAGCGCTGTCCTCCAGACAGTCTCGTCCCTTCACCTGATGAAGGCTGCTTGTGTTGTGGCCGAAACGTCGTAAGAATTTTATTGTGTCATTTTATTTTATCAATTTATTATTTTATTCTCATTCTACGTGACTTTACCGAAAGAACCAAAGAAGATGAATCCTTGCAGTCACGAAAGCTTTAAATCGAAATATAGTAATATAGTATTATATAGTAATATAGTAGTATAGTAACATAGTAGTATATAGTAATATATAGTAATATAGTAGTATATAGTAATATAGTAGTATATAGTAATATATTAGTATATAGTAATGTAGTAGTAAAGTGATATAGTAGTATATAGTAATATAGTAGTATATAGTAATATAGTAGTATATAGTAATATAGTAGTATAGTGATATAGTAGTATAGTAATATAGTAGTATACAGTAATATAGTAGTATATTAATATAGTAGTATATAGCAATATAGTAGTATATAGTAATATAGTAGTATAGTAGTGTATAGTAATATAGTAGTGTATAGTTATATAGTAGTGTATAGTAAAATAGTAGTATACAGTGATATAGTAGTATATTGATATAGTAGTATACAGTAATATAGTAGTACAGTAATATAGTAGTATATAATAATATAGTAGTATAGAGTAATATAGTAGTATAGAGTAATATAGTAGTATAGTAATATAGTAGTATATAGTAATATAGTAGTATATAGTAATATAGTAGTATATAGTAATATAGTAGTATGTAGTAATATTGTAGTATATAGTAACATAGTAGTATAGTAATATAGTATATAGGAATATAGTAGTATATAGTAATATAGTAGTATATAGTAATATAGTAGTATATAGCAATATAGTAGTATATAGTAATATAGTAGTATATAGTAATATAGTAGTATGTAGTAATATAGTAGTATGTAGTAATATAGTAGCATGTAGTAATATAGTAGTATAGTGATATAGTAGTATAGTGATATAGTAGCATAGTAATATAGTAGTATATAGTAATATAGTAGTATATAGTAATATAGTAGTATATAGCAATATAGTAGTATATAGTAATATAGTAGTATATAGTAATACAGTAATATATAGTAATATAGTAGTATATAGTAATATAGTATATAGCAATATTGTAGTATATAGTAATATAGTATATAGTAATATAGTACATAGTAATATAGTAGTATGCAGTAATATAGTAGTATATAGTAATATAGTAGTATATAGTAATATAGTAGTATAGTGATATAGTAGCATAGTAATATAGTAGTATATAGTAATATAGTAGTATTGTGGTATAGTAGTATATAGTAATATAGTAGTATATAGTAATATAGTAGTATGTAATATAGTAGTATATAGTAATCTAGTAGTATATAGCAATATAGTAGTATCGTGATATAGTAGTATGTAGTAATATAGTAGTATATAGTAATATAGTATTATATAGTAATATAGTAGTATGTAATATAGTAGTATATATTAATATAGTAGTATAGAGTAATATAGTAGTATCGTGATATAGTAGTAAGTAGTAATATAGTAGTATATAGTAATATAGTAGTATGTAGTAATATAGTAGTTTATAGTAAGATAGTAGTATATAGTAACATAGTATATAGTAACATAGTAGTATAGTAATATAGTAGTATATAGTAATATAGTAGTATATTAATATAGTAGTATATAGTTATATAGTAGTATAGAGTAATATAGTAGTATAGTGATATAGTAGTATAGTAATATAGTAGTATATATTAATATAGTATATAGTATTATAGTAATATATAGTAATATAGTAGTATATAGTAATATGGTAGTATTTAGTAATATAGTAGTATAGTAATATAGTAGTATATATTAATATAGTATATAGTATTATAGTAGTATAGTGATATAGTAGTAAATAGTAATATAGTAGTATATAGTAGTAGTATAGTAATATAGTAGTATATAGTAATATATAGTAATATAGTAGTATATAGTAACATAGTAGCATAGTAATATAGTAGTATATAGTAATATAGTAGTATATAGTAATATAGTAGTATAGTAATATGGTAGTATGTATTAATATAGTAGTATATAGTAATATAGAAGTATAGTAATATAGTAGTATACAGTAATATAGTATATAGTAATATAGTATATAGTAATATAGTAATTTAGTATATAGTAATACAGTAGTATATTCATATAGTAGTATATAGTAATATAGTAGTATACAGTAATATAGTATATAGTAATATAGTAGTATATAGTAATATAGTAGTATATAGTAATATAGTAGTATTTAGTAATATAGTAGTATATATTAATATAGTAGCATAGAGTAATATAGTAGTATCGTGATATAGTAGTAACATAGTAGTATATAGTAATATAGTAGTATGTAGTAATATAGTAGTTTATAGTAATATAGTAGTATATAGTAACATAGTATATAGTAACATAGTAGTATAGTAATATAGTAGTATAGTAATATAGTAGTATATAGTAGTATAGAGTAATATAGTAGTATAGTGATATAGTAGTATAGTAATATAGTAGTATATATTAATATAGTATATAGTATTATATAGTAATAAAGTAGTATATAGTAATATGGTAGTATTTAGTAATATAGTAGTATAGTAATATAGTAGTATATATTAATATAGTATATAGTATTATAGTAGTATAGTGATACAGTAGTAAATAGTAATATAGTAGTATATAGTAGTAGTATAGTAATATAGTAGTATATAGTAATATATAGTAATATAGTAGTATATAGTAATATAGTATATAGTAACATAGTAGCATAGAAATATAGTTATATAGTAGTATATAGTAATATAGTAGTATAGTAATATGGTAGTATGTATTAATATAGTAGTATATAGTAATATAGAAGTATAGTAATATAGTAGTATACAGTAATATAGTATATAGTATATAGTAATTTAGTATATAGTAATACAGTAGTAT